TTAGCTTCCACAAGTGCAGGGGGCTGAGAAATTCAAGGCTGGCAGGCAGTACACTGGTTGTTGACTGCAACAAAAGACGAATCCAAGATCTCCAGGCCAAGCGGTGGGCTGCTCACTCACGGAAGTTTGTAGTCAGCACACAAGGGTTCCAATCCCTCAAAGAATGTCTCTCTTCCCAGGATGTCCCTGGATATCCTGGAAGCAGGCCACACCCCTAGGGAAACTCCCCTTGGGCAGATTGGCCACTCGGAACACAGTCATCCAATCCCATCATGGGAACAACCACACAGAACTGGTGTCCAGCCAAGCTGACACACAGCTCCAACTATCACATGCATAGTCAATAAAACACAAGTAAACATCTTTTTTATATTCTTTGCTTTCAGCTAAGTTCCATGTAACATCAGCAATGATATCCCTCATTCCACATCCTCTTCTGAACCTGGCTTGCATTTCTGTCAGTTTCCTTCAATATACTGCTGCAACCATTTTTGAATTATCTTCAGCAACATTTTACTTGCATGTGGTATTAATGATATTGTTTGATAATTTCCACATTCTGTTAGATCACCTTTCTTGGGAATGGGTAAAAATATGGATCTCTTCCAGTCAGTTGGCCAGGTAGCTATCTTCCAAATTACTTGGTATAGATGAGTCAGTGAATCCAGCATGGCATCCATTTGTTGAAAAACTCCACGGGTATTCTGTCAATTCCTGGAGGCTTGTTTTTTGCCAATTCCTTCAGTGCAGCTTTGATTTCTTCCTTCAATACCACTGGTTCTTGATCATATGCTACCTCTTGAAATGGATGAATGTTGACCAATTCCATTTTATACAGTGACTCTGTATTCTTTCCATCTTTGTTGGATGTTTCCTGCATCATTCAATATTTTGCCCTCAGAATCCTTCAACATTGCAACTCGAGGCTTCAATTATTTCCCCAGTTCTCTCAGTTTGAGAAATGCAAAGTGTGTTCTTTACTTTTGCTTTTCTAACTCCAGGTCTTTGCACACTTCATTATATTAATTTACTTTGTCTTCAGGAGCTGCTCTTTGAAATCTGTTCATCTCTTTTAGTTCATCATTTCCTCCATTTGCTTTAGCTACTCTCCATTTCACAGCAAGTTTCAGAGTTTCTTCTGACATCTACTTTGGTATTTTCTTCCTTTCCTGTCCTTTTAATGACCTTTTGCTTTCTTCATGCATTATGTTCTTGATGTCATCCCACAACTTGTCTGGTTTTTGGTCAAAGGTGTTTACCGCATCAGATCTATTCTTGAGATGGTCTCTAAATTCAGGTAGGATATATAATCAAGGTTTGGCTCTCGGGGATTTGTTTGAACTTCTTCAGCTTCAGCTTGAACTTGCACATGAGCAATTAATGATCTGTTCTACCATCAGCTCCTGGCCTTGTTTTGGCTGAGGATATTGAGCTTCTCTATCACCTCTTTCCACAGATGTGGTCGATCTGATTCCTGTGTATTTCATCTGATGCTGTCCATGTGGATAGCCACTGTTTATGTTGTTGAAAAAAGGTATTCACAATTAGTAAGCCATTGGTCTTGCAAAATTCACTCATGTGCTCCTCAGTGTCATTTCTATCACCAACATACTTTCCAACTACTAGAGATTCTTCTTTGTTCCCAACTTTTGCATTCCAATAATCAGTAATCATCAATGCATACTGAATGCATGTTTAGTCAATTTTAGACTGCAGAAGTTTGTAAAAATATTCAGTTCCTTCATTTTTGGCTTTACTGGTTGGTACGTTAATTTGAATAGTAGTAGTATTAAATGCTCTTCTTGGTAGGCATATACCAAACCAAACCAAACTCACTGCCATGGGGTCAGATCTGACTCATAGTGAGCTCTGGTGGCATAGTGCCTAAGGCATTTGACTACTAACCAGAAGGCTGCTGGTTCAATCCCACCAGCCACTTCTTGGAAGGAAGGTTGATAGGCATATGGATACTGTCCTATCAAGCACTGTACTTCAGGACAGATTTTGAGATGCTCTTTTTGACAATTTATGCATCACCATTTCTCTTTGTCATTCCTAGCATAGTAGACCATATGATTGTCTGATTCAAAATAGCCAATATCAGTCCGTTTCAGCTCACTAATACCTAGGATATTGGTCTTTATGTGTTCTATTTCATTTAAATTATATAAATGTTTCAAGAATAAACAAATATACCCTAATTTTTTAACCACAATTCCAATACAAAAAAGTAAAATCATATTAATCAGAATACTTTTAATCATATACTTAAATTATATTATTTGTTTTAATTACAACAAATGATAGAGTACAATCTTACCCTTTTTCAGTGATATAGGTTTCAATAAGTAAGTTGAATTCTCGAACCTGGGACTGACAAAGTGCCAGGAAACCTCTTGATTCTAGCTGATATTGTTCTTCAGTGTGGCTTTCTGAAGAATTATTAAGCATTTCACCATTGAGAATTCTTAGAGTAGGTAATAATTTAAGAAGAGAATGCCTATTGAAAAGCAGAAAAACAATAAAAAGCTTCATAAGGAGAGTTCATAGCTAAAATAACCACAGTCGATAACTTGTAAGCATAGACTATATATCTCAGAAAATGTTATTGAAAAAAAGCTCTCAAATTCATTAAAAATTTTACAGTATCACATCATGTACAAGGTAAGTTTTAGAGTTCTTGCCATACACTTTATCTTTTTTCCTACAATACAGATGGGAGCATCAAACAGTTGGGCATTCAGGTTGGAATCTGGATTAAATAAAAGAGTACACTATGAAAAGAATAATAATATCAGAGATATTATTTGAAAAATTATTAAAATAATCTTATTTAAAGCTATTAAAATCAGAAAGAGAGATGAATTCTGACCATTTCCCTCAATAAAAAAATAATCAGAGTAGGGAAAAAGCAGGTGAGGTGGGGGATTGTCCTGGTTCTTATAATGTGAAGAAACTAAAATTATGATATTTCCTGCTGAATCTTGGTAAGAATCAAAATAATATAAAACTTCTAGGTGTGAGCAAGAGTTTGTATTAATTTAAACAGCTATTGTTGTTGTTATGTGTCATTTAGTCCTCTCCAACTCATAGTAACCCCCCCATGGGTTTCTGAGACAGTATCACTATGGAAGTAGATCTCCCAACCTTCCTTCCAAGGAGTGGCTGGTGGGTTTGAACCATCAACCTACTGGTTAGCAGTCAAGTGCCTTAGGCACTAAACGGCCAGTACTTTGCAAAACCAGGTCATACAGCAAAAGCTCTCTGTCAAAACCAGGTCATACAGCAAAAGCTCTCTGTCAACCCCAGTCATTTAGAAGTGTTGGTTTGCCCACACTGCCTTTCACAATGATAGTGTGAGCCTCTTATCAGAAAGCTGCTGATCGCCAAAGGGCAAGTGAATTTCTGAATGAATAAAACCTCTTAATTAAAAACTGTTCCTAAAAATTAACTGAGGAATGACAAGGTAAAATTATTAAAATGCCAAGAAGGAAGGAAAAGTCCAGACAGACCCCTAAAATTATTAATTCTACCTAGACTCTATTGTCAGGGTCAATTTATCCATTTATAAAAACACAATCGTAAAACTGTGTGTGTGTGTGTGTGTGTATATGTACACATAAATACATAAATATATACACATACATCTCTCTTTATATATCTACATATGTATATAGACATATATATGCATATATATATATAGTACATATACATATATGTATGGGTGTGTGTGTGTATATATACATATATATATATATATATACACACACACACACACCCATACAAATATACTTATTTATTTAATAAAAGAGGTGGCTCATGAAGACAAAAATACCTAAAACTAAAAAGAAATCACAGCCATTGAGTTGAATCAGACTCATAGTGATCCCTCCTTGAGTTTCCAAGGCGGTATCTCTATGGAAGTAGATTGCCCAGTTTCGTTCCGAGAAGTAGTTAGTGGGTTTGAACCGTCAGTGTTCTAGTTAGCAGTTAAATGCCTTAGGCACTATGCCACCAGAGAGGAATAAATTTATCAAAAGATACAAAAAATCATGAGAGGAATAAATACATCTGTCTCCAAAATCCCACTGCAATTGAGTCAATTCCAGTGCATAGCAACCCCTATTGGGTTTCCAAGGCTGGAAATCATTGTGGAAGTAGACTGCCTCATCTTCTTCCCACAGAACAGCTGGTGGGTTTGAACTAATGACCTTCTGGTTAGCAGCCAAAATATCTTACCTACTACACCATCAGAGCTTGTTATTTCTCCCTCAGTGAATATAAAAAAGAACAAACTTGGAAACACAGATGGTTAGCTTTAAAAAAAAAAAAAAAAAAATGGAGGAGATAAGGTGATATTCTGATGATAATCCTGGAACTCTGAGCATCAAATGAAAGGATAAAGAATTGGATTAAACACTGATTAGGAAAAGACAGAACAGAAAAGCAATTGAGAAGAGAGAGGAAGAGGGGTCTTGTCACAGAGTGGCCATTTAGAGAAACAGAAAGCAACATATATAGGTGAGGAGAAGCCAACTTCATGGAATCCCCATTAAGACAAAGACACAGTTTAAGCAAATCCAGACTGAAACAAGATGAGCAGAATATGAGCTAAATCTAAGAGAGGGAAACTAGAGGGAAGCTGGCAAGAGTTCCAGTGGCCCAGGTGAACACAAAGCCAGGAGAGAGCTGGTAACGAGGATGAAACCAATCATCAATAATAGCCCTGGTCATATGTGTTGAGGGCTCATGCAGAGGGGAAGGCCTGTGATAGGGCAGTTGGAAATGCTGGACTTCAGGCAGTTATCCCCTTGACTGAGTCAGGCCTTGCCCAGAAGTGGATTAGTTAATGGCAAATGCAGAAGTGTGCTTTCCCACTTTCCTCACCACATCTTCCTGGTGACCAGGAGTGAGGCCTTCTCCCCCGTAGCAACCAGCCTGGTGGCTAAGGATGCCCCTACTGCTGCCCCTCACCCACCTTGTTCATTTAGACAGCTTCCCTCACCAGTGGTCGCCCACCATAACACATACCCAATGGACCAAATTGCATGCCTGCAGACTGTACTCTTTGCACTTGGGGCCCATGTGATTGAGAGGGCACACTCTCATGGACTATAAGCCACAACACTACAGCCTCTGCTGTTGGAGGTTTGCATACGTGCAGACCACATACCAGGTTCCTACCATATCTTGGGTGGGGACGCGCACATGGGAAAACCACTTGTCAGGCTCCTGCTGCCTCCTCAGGAGCCCTGTGTACACAACTGCCATGTCCCCAGTGACTAGGGGTGTGTGCTTATGTGGACTGTGTGACAGTTAACTGCTGCAGCTGTGGCAGGCAGTTTACATCCCAGCAGAGAGGGTACTATGTGCCCAACACTTTAGAAGTGTGGGTGACCACTGCCACATCACCTTTTTTATTTTTCTTTTCTTCTCTTCTTCTTCATTTTTCTTTCTTCTCTTTGTCTTCCTTTATCTTATGCATTTTTTTCTCATTCCCACCTTTATCTTTTCATTTTTCTCTGCCTTTTTCCAAGGGAGGTGGACATTGCTTTTGTACTAGTCAGCTACATCTACCAGACCTACCACCTACAATCTCACCCAACAGATGAGTGCCATTGTCTACTCCTGAGCTACTGGATCAATGAGAAATGGTAGAAAACACCTGCTTGCCCAACCTGTGGCAACTCTTCATAACCAACAAATGGAGACCCATGCCCACACTTCCACTAGCTACTTCACCTACGTGGAGCAGGTGGGGAGTGCCGCAGTGTTGCCAAACTACTGAACAATGTAAGACGTCTGCACCACCCACCAGGATATAACAAAGTTAAAAAAAAAAAATCAGTGTGAACCAACACATAATCAACAAATAAAACAATAAAACAAAACAATAACTTCAAAATGTCTAGGAAACAACAGGCAATTTCAAATCAAACAAGAAACAGAATAAGACGGCACAAGCAGGTGACCAAAATAAAGAACTAGGAAACCTCCCTGAGGAAGAATAGATAATAGGACTATCGGGTAAAGAATTCAAAAGATCAATATACAGGGTCTTCCAAGAGGTCAAGGAAACCACAAACAAAATCAAGAAAAACAGAGACAATACTCTAGAAGAATTAAGAAAAACAATTTAAGAATAACATGACAAAATAAAAAGGTAATTAGAAAAACAATACAAAAACAACAATTAGAAATCTAGAAGATTAACACTAAAATTGAGAGCAATAACACATTGGAAGGACAATAGTAGAACTGAATCAACAGAAGAAGGTATCTGTATATGTTTATGAGGTCAAGTTAGTTCATGTATTGTTTAGATCTTTGATATCTTTGTTGAATCTCTTTTTTACCACTTACAGTAACTACCAGACAAAATACAATAGCTACTCTGATGGTATCTTGGGTGGGGACGCGCACGTGGTGTAGTGCCTAAGGCATTTGACTGCTAACCAGAAGACTGGTAGTTCAAACCCACCAGCCACTCCTCAGAAGGAAGGCTGGGCAATCTACTTCCATAGTGATAGCACCTGGGAAACCCAAGGAAGGGTTCCTATGAGTCAGATCCGACTGGACAGCAGTGAGTGTTTTTTTTTTTTTTTTTAACCAGATAAAATACCTAGAAATAAATCTAACTAGTCATACAAAAGATTTATATAAAGAAAATGAAAAATCACTAGTTAAAGAAACAAGAGAGACCTGTATAAACGGAAGAATATATCATATTCACAGAGAGGAAGACTTAACATTGTGAAAATGTTACTACTACCCGAAATGATCTAAGGATATAATACAGTCTCAATCCAGATTCCATCATCATTCTTTGAAAAGATGGAAAAACCAATCATCAACTTTATATGTAAAGGAAAGAAAGAATGGATAAGCAAAGCTACTGAAGAAGAAGAAGAAGAAAATCGGAGGTCTCACACATCCTTATCTCAAAACCTACGATACAGCTACAGTAGTCAAAACAGTCTGGTACTGGTACAATGACAGACACGTAGAGTAATGCAATGGAACTGAGAAGCCAAAAGTAATTCCATCATCATGGACAGCTTATATTTGACAAAGGACTGAAATCCATTAAATGAGGAAGACGTAGTCTAATAAATGGTGCTGGTAAAACTGGTTATCAATTTGCAAAAAAAATGAAACCAGATTTATACCTAACACTATATACAAAAACTAACTTAAGATGATTCCAAGACCTAAAACTATAAAGAACATCAAATTAAAAAGAGTGGCAAAGTTGAGGCCTTAATTTTTAGCATAAATAAACTATCCAACTTAAAAAAAAGCGCCAGATAAACTGGATGACTGACTTAAAAAACTCACTGCCGTTAAGTTGGATCCGACTCATAGCGACACCTCCTTGAGTTTCCGAGGTGCTATCATTATAGAAGTAGATTGCCCAACCTTCCTTCTGAGGAGTGTCTGGTGGGTTTGAACCGCCAGCCTTCTAGTTAGCAGTCAAGCGCTTTAGGCACTATGCCACCA